ATATATATATATATATATATATATATATATATATATATATATATATATATATATAAAAATAAATGACTACTAAACTAATAAATGAAACATTAATAATTAATTTAAAAATAATTACTATTTATAATATATGTATAATGTATTAGGTTGTGCAATATTATAGGTCTAATGAGTTATTTAATTTTTTAAATATAATAGTAGCTTATGAATTATGATGAATTGTGCTGTAATGGCAAATATGAATATTGTGTATATATACGAGCATTGTGTCTCTGAGTGTGTGCGTCTCTGAGTGTGTGTTAATGAATCTCTCACTCAGTGTCTATTTTAAGCTTTATCAGTGTTGCATCAGAGAGCAGCTCCAGGGCAACACACACACACACACACACACACACACACACATTTACATATATATCTATGTTTCTGTGTGTGTGTGTGTGTGTGTTGTAGTAGTATATATACATACATACATATATATACAGATAGATAGACAGACAAACAGATAGACAGAGAGACACACATATTAAACACAGCTGCTGTAGACAGAAGTGTGCTGTCCTGTATATAATATAAATGAGAGTGAAGCTCTCTCCTCTGGCTTTTCTTGGCTGTTATTGGCTTTATTTTGCTCCGCGCGCTGCCGCTGAGTTCCCGGAAGTGACGCATGCGCTGATTTGTGTTTGTTTTCCTGACAGTCGCGGCCGTGTTGCGCATCAAACTGCCAGAAATCAGCGAGACCCGCAGGTAAATATGTCTAAACACTCGTTTTCTTCAATGCAGGGTGTGAACTGGGGCTCGGGGGCCGCTGGAGGAGCGCTGAGGAGCGGCTTTGGGCTGAGGAGAGACGGGCTGCGGATGCTAATGCTAATCTAGCAGAGCACTAGCCGCTCCAGGTTTCCACTTCCACACTTCACACAGAGAAACAGTGAGGATGACCAGCTCTGACAACAACACCTCTGCCTGATGAGCTGGGGCTCTAATCTTAACCAGTGCTGCTGCTGTCTATCTAGTGCGCGTGTTTATCTTCATAGGGCGCGTTTACTTTGTCTGTGTGGTGCTGAGTGCTCTCAGTAGTGTGCTGTCTGTGTGTTAACATGTACAAGCACCGGCAGGTTGAGTGCTCTTAATGGTTTGCTGTGTGTCAGGTTGAGTGCTCTCAGTCTGTGTGTCAGCATGAAGATGCACAGGAAGGTTGAGTGCTCTCTGTAGTGTGCAGTCTGTGTGTCCGCATGTTAGAGCACTGGTTTGAGTGCTCTCAGTAGTGTGCAATATCTATGAAAGACAGANACAGTGAGGATGAACAGCTTTGACAACATCTCTGACTGATGAGCTGGAATTCTGGTTCATTATCGGCTCTGTGTC